GCCGGGCCCGCCCCCCCCCCGCCCGCCGCCTATGCCGAGGCGCTGGCGGAGCTGCGAGCCCATGGCCCTGCGGCATTCGTCGACTACTTCGAGCGAAACTGGGCGCCCCGCCGCGATATGTGGGTGCGTTTCCGTGCCTTTGAGGCAGCCCGCGATCTGGACGCTTGTGCCCTGGTGCGCGGCCACCGCCGCCGACTGCTTCGACACCTCAGCCCCTCTCGCAGCGTGGCGCAGTGCCTTCACGACCTGGTGGCTATGCAGTGGGCCGACGCGTCTGTGGAGTCGGTGCCCGAGGGCTCAGACAGCGGGTGTGTTTGGCTGGAGGACTATGCAGGGAGAAAGGCTCAGGCGGAGAACGAGACAGTGAGGGGCCTAGAGATCAGAGAATGGAGAGGGTCTTTGAAAGAAGGGAGTATTTGCAGTGGGGCCCAGTTGGTGAAAGAGTGGGCAAGAGGTCTGGAGACCAGAGGCCAGGGCGGGGCCCTGTTGGAAAGTGAGGAGAGCAGGTTGCAAATGAGAGCTCGGAGAGGGGCTCAGTTAGAGAACCAGAAGGTGACGGGACTAGGTGGTGTCTGGAGAGGGTCCCAGTTGGACAAAGAACATCTGAGAGGGCCAGAGATCAGAGACTGGAGGGGGGCCCAGTCTGAGGGTGAGAAATATTGGGGACTGGAAAGTTATGCCTGGAGAGGGGCCCGTTTGGAGGACCAGAGGCTAAGGGGATTAGAGGAGTGTACCTGGAGGATGGACCTGTTGGGGGATCAAAAGATTAAGGTGCCGGAGACTGCAGACGGGAGGGGGACCCACTTGGAGAATGAGAGGGCCAGGAGTCTTGAGGGAAGCCCCTGGAGAGGGGCCCAGTTACATGAGGAAAGGGCAGATGGACTAAAAATCAGAGACTGCAAGGCACCCCAGTTTGATGCAGAGAAGAGCCGGGAGCTAGAGGTTAGAACCTGGAGGGGTGTCCGTTTGGAGAAGCCCTCGGAGTTGGCCCCTGAGAATGGAGACCAAAGGGGGGCCCACTGGGCAGACAAGAAGAGGAGAGAGACAGGGATTGCAGAGCAGAGAGGAGTGAGGTTGAGGATCAAAAGAAGGGGCCTGGAGGACATGGTTCTGGGCCAGGCAGGTGGCACAAGTGTTGCTGGCATGGAGAACGGAGACAGAGGGGCAGGCCGGTGCGCAGGCCCCAACAGCAGAGAACAAGGGCTGGAGTGGGGGAACACAGGAGGGAGGTGTCTGGGGCCTGAGAGTGGCATCTTAGCCGGCACCACTGCAGGGACTGTGTTTGAGGGCAGTCTGGAATGGGCAGCCATGAGGACTGAGTGCCTGGCTGCAGGGGACAGCCCTCAGGAAGGAGGTGAAGAAGGCCCAAGGGAACCAAAGAGGCTTTGCCACCCTGCGGGAGAGGAAGGGGTGGACTGGGAGCCCCTGGCCAAATTCCGAGCAGCCTGTGGACCAGAGCTGGCAGACCTGGTGGCCGAGGAGCTGGCCTTTGCCAGGCAACATGGGATTCAGGGTTTCCACTGGACTGGAGCTGGCTTTGCCCTTAAAGACGGCACCTCGGACTTCTACCTGGACAGGGCCCTGACGCGCTGCAGCTGCTCTATCCACGCGGCCCGGCACCTACCCTGCCGACACCTTTTCGCAGCACGCCTCCTCACCGGAGCAGCCTTATTCCACATGGACCTGCTCAGGGATTGCTGGGGGAGAGCCCCTGAGCCCTGACCCTGCAGGCCCCTGCCCAGCACTCTCCACTGTGAGAGCAGAGGGCATTCTTTGATCCCAAAGATAAGGCTGAAGCCAGGTCCGCTGGCCACCCTCTGGGTCATGCAAGGACCTCCTCTTGGCTGTCTCCTTCTCTGGGACTGAGGGCAAGTTGGCAGTGGTCTCAGGACCTGGAGCCAGAGCTGGGGGCGGTGTTGATGGCCAGGGTGGGTTCTGAGGGAAGCCCTCAGTATGGGAAATGTGTGACAAGAGGTGTGGACAGGGTCTGGCCCAGGCGGAGGAAGGGAAGAGGCAGAGCTGCAGGGGGGGATGTTGAGGTTAGGGGCGCACAACAAGATGTGGGCAGAGACCAGAAGGAGTCAGCTGACCCATCTGGGGAGCACTGGGGCAAAGGGAGGAAATATAGTACTTGACAGATAGGGGTAGGGGAGGAAAGACGGAAGAGGAAACAAGTAAAGGAGGGAGGACCCGAGAAGAGGCAGAAATGGAGAAAATGAGGAAAACCATGAGAGGCAGAGGGGTGGGGGTGGGGGAGACAAGGATGGTGGAGAGGGAAGGGCAAAGGGAGAGGAGACAAAGGTAAGTGTGGGCGATGGGAGAGAAGAAGTGGGAGGCAAGCAATTTGGGTATTTGTCTAAGCCCTTTCCTCTTCTGGTTGGTCTTTCCTGGAAGAGAGTGTGAGAGAGGGCAGCGGGAGTCTAGTCTGGAGAAATGGGTGGAGATTCCAGCCAGGGAGGGAAACTGTCTGGGGCAGTGTGCTTTGAGATTGGAATAAAACATTACTTGGGTTTCTGTGCTGAGTTCTTGTCTTCTGGTGAAGGGTGAGCGCCAGATCCAGAGGAGAGTTGAGATGACCCAGCATTTCTGCAGTCTTTCTATCAGCAAGGCGCACGGGGCCAGAGATGGAGCAGCCACGACGAATTCATCTCCATGACAGCTCTGGCCTCATCCTCCCCAACCTGGACAGTGCACTGAGGTGGCAACTCCCTGACACCCATCAGTTCAACCCTCAGATGATTGGCTCAGACCAGTCTGTCCTTGTCAGTGATTGGTTTAAGACTGGGGCCAGCTGGTGACTGAGTAGTAACGCAGCACTCTGTGATGGTGGACCCACATGGGGGAGTTTTGGGTTCGCTTCCTGACGCCTCCCTGTACCTGCCTCCCATGTACATGCCCACAATCTGTGATGGCCAAGACAGGGTGGACTGTGGTGTGATGGCTGTGTTGGGTCTCTCTCTCTCTCTCTCATGGAAGTAAAAGAAAGACAGAAAGAATGGGCATGTGACCCAATCCCAGCAAATGAGTCCGCTGAGATGAGGGAGGGAGGCTTCTAACAAAGATTCCAAGACGGGAGGCCCAGAATGAGATGGCCAGGCCTTACCTGCTTACAACCACCTTGAATGGTATAACGAAGCCCACACTGAGGATGACAGCGCTAGGAGATACAATCTGGATCCTTGACTAAAAGCCAGCTCCAACTTGGGAGTTCTTGAGTAAAATAAATTTTAATGATTAAGAAGTTCAAGTTGGGGTTTGAGTTAGGATTTCCATTGTGACAACTAATGAAAAGGACTTCATTCTACTGCAGATGACAAGATTCAGGTTGAAGTGGCTCTGCACTTTCTTTCTTTTTTTTGGAGAGGTTTTTTGCAATAGGGCATGTGCGCTCGCCAGAAAGACAGAGACAGAAATGCCTGGCGTGAGTTTAAGCCACCGGGTTCAGGACTCAAACTGTGGTCAACTACATGGGAGTCCAGTGACATAACCATTACACCAACTGCTGGTCCCATGGTTCTGCACTTTCAAACTTTAATTTGAACGTGCATCATATGGGCACCTGGGAGATACAGGAGGTCTGGGTGTGGTCTGAAATGCCAGCGAGCTCTCTGATGATACAGTTGCTTATGGATCCTGGAGTATACTTTGAGCAGTTTTGAATAGCAATGAAGGAGCTTAAGATAGAAGACAGCTCAGTGGTTCAAGAAGTGACACACCTTGGGACCAACAGATGGTGTAATGGTGATTTGTGGTTCGAGTCCCAGACCTGGCAGCTTGAAACAATGCTGGATGTGTGCGTGTGCATGTCTTAAATCCTGAGAGAATGGAGGCGAAGGGACTGTGGCATGGCCGTCCCCCTGGGAGGTGATGTCTCACTTTCTGTCTATCTCTCTGGCGAGTGCACGTGCCCTATAGCAAAACTCTCTCTCTCAATAAAAAAAGAAGCAAAAGGCCTCAACTGAAGCTTAGTTCAGGGGATCAGGCAAGGTCAGAGGACCAGGAAAGGTCAAGGTCAGGTTTTCCTCCCTCACTTCAGCTCTTTGCATGATGAATTCCTTCAAAATAAGGCCCTCTCTTTTGGCTGAGAATAAGAGCAGCCGTAAGCCCCAATCTCACATGTTCCTGTCTTGATCCACAAAAACCTTTCTTCTGGGCCAGTGGGTGGCATAGTTAAGGCATTGGATCCTACACAGCTCACTCCATAGTTCAAGTCCCAGACCTGCTGGCTTGAAAATCACACCAGGCGTGTGTGTGTGTATGTGTGTGTGTGTGTGTGTGTGTGCTTGCCCAAAATCCCAAGAGGAGAAGGTATTGCAGTGTGGTCATCCTCCCTTTGGGGGTGATTTCTCACTTTCTCTCTCTCCTCCCAGGAAGCACACACACCTTGTGGCAAAAAATATATATATATAAACTAACTAAAAAAACTAAAAAATACACCTTTCTCCCAGTATCCTTATAGTAAATCTCAAGTACAAAACCAAAATGGATTTATAAAGGGTATCAGTTACCTATGGCTAGAGAGAGAAATGAGAAATCACATTCCTCCCTGGGGGGCAGGGGGAGGGCACTACACTACAATCTCTTCTTCATTCTCTTCTCAGGACTTGGGCATGCGCACACACGTGCCTAGCATGTGTTTCAAGCGACTGCGTCTGGGACTTGAACTGCAAAATTGGCCATGTGGGATCCAGATACCGTAACCCTGCATGGCACCTGCTGGGCCCCAGAAATAATGTTTAATTTGGGCACCCCTTGGCCGGTTAAGATGGATGATGCACAGAATTAACCACTGCTCTGTTAAAACACAGATTGCAGAGTTCCACCCCCAGAGTTTTAATCGAATGGGTTTGAGGTAGGGCCTGAGAGTTTGTAGGTCTAACACATTCCCGGATGATTCTGATGCTTCTGTTCAAAGACCACACATGGGAAAAACCACTGGAAGCACACTCAGGAAAGTCACTGGATCTGACAGACATGCACCTATCCCTGGAACAGTTCAGTAGGGCAGACTGGACACATGGGCACACAGAGAGCAGGGAGGAGGGCCCCGGGCAGGCAAACACAATAGCAGTCCAGTCCAGACCAATATCCCAAAGCTCTCCATTAGCCTGTTTTAACATTAGATTCTTAAATGTGAATTACCTGGAAACTGAATTAATTCATTAATTTATTCACGAAGTAATCCAGAGGGGCCTGGGAGGGTAAGTGCTTGGCCCATTATACTGTGTACATTGAAGAAAGGTCAGAGAATGGTGGGTCGGAGTATGATAGGGAGAGACATGGGTAGGAAGAGCAGCAGGGCCTTATAGGTAGAGAAGGAGCAACGAGAAGCCTTCAAAAAGTTTTGAACACAGGCATGACTTGGTTGGATGTATTGGGTTGCTGGGAAGGTCATGATGCATTTTAGCATAGAAAAACAGAAAAACATGACTTTGTCAACGATCTTATATATCAGAATAAATTTTACTCTCGCGGCCTTACTGTGAAGAATAGATTGGATGTGAGTCCAGAGAAGAAGAGATTTATGATCAGTAAAATAGGCGGGGGCATAAGGCTCTTCACAGAAGGGGACCTTTGCCAGGAAAAGAGAATGACAAAAGTGCCTTCTTGGCCCAGGAAACAGCATGTGTAACAGTGTTTTGCTCTTGGGGAAAGCAAGAGAAAACCCAAAGGTCAGTGGCTCTTAGGCCACTATATACCCCACATGCCCAGCTCACAAGTAAAATCAGTCCCTTCAGGCCTCTGCTCAAATGTCACCTTCTCCCAAAGGCTATCTCTGAGCAGTCTGTCTAAATAGTCCTCTAATCCCTTTCTCTGCTTTATTCTTCACTTATCACTACCTGGAATTATACTGCAATAGCTATTTACCAATTTAGCACTGTAATTAAGCTTATCGAGTATGAAGCCAGACTACCTATGTTCAGACTCCACCTCCACAACTTCTTTGCTATGTGATCTTCAGGTGCTTGACCTATATTGTAGTTTGAGGGTCATAATAGTACTATCTCATGTGACTTTGTAAGGGTAAATGAGTTGGTATGTATGTATCAATGTTCTAACATTGCCTCATTTCCACTTTCCCGAAGCATCCCAACTACTGAGTAACATACTACTTTCTCCAATGATCTCTGTTCACCATTTTTAATAGTCAGTCTTCTGCCAGATGATGGCATTGACCCAGCAGTAAACTGCAATTGCTCTGCAGGGCTAACCCACATGGGAAGGTTCTTGGCTGGCATCCAGAGACCTCCCTGAATGCACTGGACACTGATCCATGGCTTGCTAAGGCTGAGGATGGATTGTGTGGTCAGAACATATTGGGGGTGCTGTTTGTGTCTACATTTTTCTTACTGTCTTTCTCATTCATGAAACAAAGAATAAACTAAAAAACAATCTCCTACCACCAAAATATAAGCTCTACTTTGTTTTCCGTGATATCTTCAGTGCCTAGAACAATTCCTGGTGCAAAGTAAACTTTGAGTTATGAAGATGAAAGACTAAAAATAGCGGATTGGCTAGTGGAGGTAGGCTTCACTCTTCATTGCTGCTATGATGACAGTCGTGCCTGCTCCAAGATGCCCAACTTCAGCAAACATGCTCCTACTTTCATCTGGCTCATCCTTTGGCTACCTGTATCGCCCTCCATAGCGGCCAGAAAACTACAGCTCCCAGCAGGCTAAGCGCGGCCAGCGCTTTGTGCCCAAGCCCTTTTGCTGAGCGTGAGCGCCTGCGTAGTAGAATTCGCTGACTCAGAGTTCCAAACGCGCATGTGCAAGCTGCTGCGCGCTTAGTTGGGGGGAGGGGGGAGAGATTCCTGTACTGGTTGAGCCTCGTGGGGACCCCCTCAGCTTCCCGGGTTCCAGGAAACTGGGTTGCGGGGCCACGGTCCCAGGGCCGTTGTCTCCGAGTGTGTGTAGGGTGGGGTTGGGACCGAGGCCCTGCTCTGGTTTCCACGGTGACGGGCCATTTCGGCGCACGGGAGGGGAAGCCAAAGGTTAGCGTTGCCATGGTAACCCCGGAGTGGGCGGAGCGGTGGGGAGGAGAAGGGGTTAGGGATATCGCGGTAGGAATTGGAGGAGCCACCCGGGAGCTGGCCTGTTCGCGGAGGAATGGAGAGTGATGGAGGAACTGGTTTGAAGTGAGGGGAGTCGGGGTGATAATAGGGGAACGGGGGTATTATGAAGGAGTGGGACTGTTTTGGTAAAATCATATGTAATAAGGGGATGTGGGAAGATCAGTGAAAAATCGGTGTTAGGTAACTGGAATGCTTTGGGGGAAGTGAAAACGCAGATGGCAAAAATGCGGTGTTAAACGCCGTTATCATTCTGTGAGCTACTGTGTGTCAGGCACCACTGCATGTTGTGAATACATGGTGAGCAGGACCGGCTGCAGAGGGACCCGGGGTTTTGTGGAGGCGTCGGGGTTATAGGACAGGGCCTGCTGTGCCCTATGGGAGCGACGCACGCCGTTGGGAAGAACTGGAGCTGTAAGAAGTCGGAGGTTTTGTGTGAGAATGAGATATTCTATAAATTGTGGCACTATTTATAGAAGGTCCGTTAAATACCAACCTCTAGGAGGCACTGGGAATTCCTTAGTGATTGCGAAGCCAGTCATAGCTAGAGTTGCTGGATTTAGGAGGAAAACAGTGCCTGGTTGAATATGAATGGCAGGTAATGAATAATATTTTATCTGACATTCACATTTAACTGGGCACCCTGTATTTTTTCCTTTTTTTTTTTAAAGAGGTTTGTGCCATAGGGTGCATGTGCTCATTGACAGAGACAGTGAGAGGGAAAGTGAGAAATCACCTCCCAGGAGTGTTGGCCACCCAGCAATCCCTTCTCCTCGAGGGATCTTGGCACTTTTGCACATGTGCCTGGCATGATTTTCAAGCCACTGGGTCCTGGACTTGAACTACGGTCAGCCATGTGGGAGTCCAGCAACATAACTGCTATGCCATGTGCTGGCCCAGGCACCCTGTATTTTATCTGGCAACTCTGATTATGGGGAATTGGGATGTTTGTGAAGAGTGAATTATTACAGGGGATGTGGGCACTAGAGAGTGATCAGGTTGTAGGAGGAGCTGAAGGGTCAGAAAAAGTAGGTGTGCTGAAGCCAACACTAAGCTCAACACTTTCTCTGTGCTGGGTACTGCGCTAAGTGCTTTTACCTTAAAACTGTTTAGGATGGAAACTTAACCACATACGGTTGTAAAACAGACCCGACTAAGCTGCCTCTACCCATCACTGCTTTACATGAGAGCCTTATTGAAGCCTCACCATTCTAAGCAGTAGCATTACTGTTACACTCCATTTTGCAGATAAGGAAACAGATATTAAATAAGTTGACCAAAGTGGCAGACCAGGATCTCGCCCTTGAGTTTGGGCTCTCCACTGCCACATAACATGTAAATTCTCCCTGGGAAAAAAAGGATAGGGAGGGAAGCATGCTGGGAGCAATGAGCAGTTAAGGTATAAAAGGAGGGTTAGCTAATTGGGCTGTTTGAGCATTGCATAATGCCCTTGTGTTACAGGATTGTCCTGAGACTGAGTGGAGGCTGGAGGGAGCCCTGGGACGTTTGGGGAGGGCAGAAGAGTTCGGTGTTTGCGCCGGGCGCGTGTGCGTGCATGCCCAAGATCCCGAGAGGAGAATGGAGGAGAAGGGATTGCGGTGTGACCATCCCCCCTGGGGGGTGATTTCTCGCTTTCTGTCTCTATGTCTCTCTCTGTCTGTCTGGCGAGCGCACGCGCCCTACAATGAAAATCTCTCAAAAAAAAAAAAAAAAAAGAGTTCGGTGTTTGGCGGTGGTATGGCAAGTTATGTAGCTATGCTGGCCAGGATGGTAGCAGCTAACTACATGTGGATACGGTAGATTAATTGTAATGAAGCAAACATTTCAGTTCCTTAGTCACACTATTTTAAGCACTCAATAATCCCTACAGTATTTAGGACAGTAATGGTTTAGAACATCCCCATCATCACAGAAAGTTCTGGTGGACAGAATTGGGATGTAATAGAGCATGTAGAAGGGTTCCCCTTCCTTTCTCACTTTACCTCGTTTCATGCCTTTCTGCCTCCTCTGCTTCACCTGTAGGTGGCTCCACCTGTTCTCACACAGGCCAGGCTTGGTCCATTTTCACCCTGGCTGTTTCCTCTGCCAGAATGCTCATCCAGCTCTTTGCACTTAGAGTTTAACTGTCATCTCCCCAAAGAGGATTTCCTTGACTGTCCTATTTAAAAGTCACATCAACCCCTTCCCACTGGCAGCATCTGCCCCATCCCCTGAAATTTGATCAGTACATATAAAATTATCTTGTTCATTTATCAGTTAACCTTTTCATGGAGGGGGGGGGCGGGGGGTTAGGGGGAGACCTTGTCTTGTTCACCATGAAAAATTCCAGTGCCTGGAAATATGCCTGCTAAGGAGATACTAAAATTATGTTGATTAAATGAATGGAGGCTATTCAGAATTGAAGAGCAGCAACGTAATAGGGGAGATTAGGGTGTTAGAGAAACACAGTTGAAGGGAGTTGGAGGAATGTAAGAGAGGAATTGATTCTGGAAATTTGAGCAATAAAGGAGGAACTGGAGCTCCAGGGAGGAAAGAGGACAACAGGAAATAAGTGAGGGGTGGTAGAGGAAGACTTGGGATATTCTATGTAAACGCCTAGTACCTTACTTTCCTCATCTATGGGATGGGGTTAAAAATCGAATCTGCAAGAGATCATCAAAAAGTCCATAGAGGGCCCGCAGATAGGATGGTGGTTAAGGCAGATGAACTCCACATATGAACTCTATATGGCTGACTGTGGGTTTTAGTCCTGGGCCTGGTGACTTAAAAATCATGCCGTGTGTGTGTGCACACGCTCTGAGAGGAGAATGGAGAAGGGATTATAGCACAGCCACCACCTCCTGGGGGAATTGATTTCTTACTTTCCTTGTCTTCCTGTCAATCTGTTTCTGTCTCTTTCTAGCAAGCACACATGTCATATAGAAAATAATAATAATAACCCATAGAAAATGTGTATTGTGAAGAAACTGCATGAATTTTTAAAATTGCATCAAAATAAATTTGTACTAATGTGTTAAATCTGAACAGGAGATAGTTTGAAGCACTAAGAAGGATAAAACATCAATTTGAAAAGAGCCCCTATCAGGACAACATGAATTCTGCTAAGATTGAAGCAAGAACAAACATCAAATTTATGGTGAAGCTTGGGTGGAAGAATGGTGAAATCATTGATGCTTTACAAAAAGTTTATGGGGAACAAGCCCCAAAGAAATCAGCAGTTTACAAATGGGTAACTCGTTTTAGGAAGGGACGAGATGATGTTGAAGATGATGCCCGCAGTGGCAGACCATCCACGTCAATTTGTGAGGAAAAAATTAATCTTGTCCGTGCCCTAATTGAAGAGGACCAACAATTAACAGCAGAAACAATAGCCAATACTATAGACATCTCGATTGGTTCAGCGTACACAATTCTGACTGAAAAATTAAAGTTGAGCAAATTTTCTGCGCGATGGGTGCCTAAACTATTGTGTCCAGATCAGCTGCAGACCAGAGCAGAGATTTCAATGGAAATTTTAAATATGTGGTATCGAGATCCTGAAGCATTTCTTCGAAGAATCGTAACAGGGGATGATACATGGTTGTACAGGTGTGATCCTGACGACAAAGCATAATCAAAGCAACAGCTTCTAAGAGTTGGAAATGGTCTGGTCAAAGCAAAAGTTGATGGGTTAAGAATGAAAGTCATTGGCAACAGTTCTGTGGGCTGCTCAAGGCGTTTTACTTGTTGACTTTCCGGAAGGCCAAAGAATAATTATCTGCTTATTATGAGAGGTGTTTTGAGAAAGATAGCTGAAGATTTAGCAGGAAAACACCTGGGAAAACTTCACCAGAGTCCTTCTCCATCATGACAGTGATCTTGCTCATTCTTATCAAGCAAGGGCAATTTTGCAAGATGGGAAATGACAGTCCTGATTTAGCTCCTTCTGAGTTGTTTGTTTTCTAATCTTAAAAAAAAAAAATCTTTACAGAGTACTCATTTTTCTTCAGTTAATAATGTAAAAAAGACTGCATTGACATGGTTAAATTCCCAGCACCCTTAGTTCTTTGGAACTGGACTAAATGACTGGTATCGTTGCTTATAAAAGTAGCTTGAACTTGATGGAGCTTGTTGAGAAATAAAGTTTATATTTTTAATTTTTGTTTTAATTCCATTTTTCTCAAACTTTTTGAAGCTTCCTTGTATTTTACAAGCATGTTGTACAGATTCAGTAAGTTTATATTTATATAGTACTGGGCATATTGTTACTACTGCATCCATGTTACCTAGAGCTACTAAAATAAACGATTGTTGTTGTTATCAATTAAGGTCTTTTGTCGTATTAGCAGAGAATAAAAGGATTGCAGTTCAGCCTGGATGAAGAAAACCTATGTCAAGTACCTGGTACTTAATAGATGATCAATTAATTGAAATCCTTTCTTGATTTTTTTTTTTTTTTTCTGAGAAGATTTTGCCTTAGGTGTGGTGCATTCGTGCTTGCTTGTAGGACTGGGGGAGTGGGGGTAGGGACAGAGACAATGAGAAGGAAAGTGAGAAATCACCTAGGAGGATGGCCATGCTGCAATCCCTCTTCCATTCTCCTCCCAGGATCTTGGGCATACTTGCACATGTGCCTGGCATGAGTTCCTTTCTTTCTTTCTTTAAAGGATTATTAATTTAATGTATTATTATTATTTTAATTTGCACGTGAACTCAACAAAGAGAGACACAGAGAGGGAAAGTGAGAAAGCAAGCCACCAGGTCTGGGACTTGAACCATGTAATACCATGTGAGATCCAGCACCTTAACCACCGTGCCACCTGCTAGCCCCTCTAGTTGGCCTTTATTATCTGATTCATGAATCAGACAGTTAGCGTCTACAATGCAGAAAAGGCGCCTCAATGAGCGAGCCGAGGTTGGCTTTCTATGTAGAAAAGTGCTGAAGAATGCACAAACAGGGAATGAAAACTTAACTCTTACAGACTTAAAGCAGAAGGGACTCCCTTGCCATGCCGCTCAGGTCACGGGCCCCTTCTGATGGGCTGCCATGAATCTCTTGGCCTTTGGGAAACCGGCCCATCAGGGAGTTCAGCTTGATTCTGGTTTGGTCTGGTCTTTGGGCTTAGTGCAGCAGCTCAGCCCGCTGATAGGCTCTCTACTATGGCTTCAGACCACCGGAAACTGACCTCCTGTTCCTTCATTGAATCTACACCAGCTCCTTACGTTGGTCCCCCTCACTCCGGGGGCGCCATACTCACCCCTCAGATTCACCTTGAATTACAAATGCCTGGTACACCTTGCTGGAGTTTTTCCTTTGGTTCTCTATTACCTACAGCCTAAATCGTGTTACATCCTGGAAGTAGGAAGTCATTAAGTATGTTTTAAATATCTTCTGGGGTCAGCAAGTGGTGTTGGTTAAGGTGTTGGACTCCCACATGACTGACGGTGGTTCAAGTCCCAGACCTGGTAGATTGCTTTCTCACTCTTTTTCTCTCTCTGTCTCGTTCTAGTCAAATTAAAAAATAATAATGAATAAAACTAAAAAAAACAATTGTTTTTTAAGAATTTTTAAATTTAACTTCTATTTCCCGGAGCGAATAGCAGGCGGCCTTGCCAACATGCTAAGTGACCCAAGCTTGTTCCATGGTCGGGGGGCGTACAGTCGCGGCCTTGCCAGCTCACTGAACTGACCGGAAGCGATGCTCAAAGGTCAAGGGGCTCAGATGGGTCCTGGAGCCCTGCCGGGTCGGACTCCTCCACCACTGGATCCTGGACTTGAACCATGGTCGACCATGTGAGAGTCCAGAGATTTAACTGCTATGCCATCTGCTGCTCCTTCCCTACTTCTTGATTTTTTTTAAAAAAATCATTTTGCTTAGGGAAGCAGCTCTTTGAATGTGTGTTTGCTTTTGTTAACCTGCACCCACATTAAATTCAGAGCTGCCCACAGGAACTGTTCCTTACGTGTATTTCCCTTCTTCATCTATACACCCTCTCTGACATAGGCCTGCTGTGGCCTCTAGGGCTCAGTGGAGGGGGTAGTGGTGGGCAGGAGGGCAGTCAGACGCTTCCCTTGGCCCACTGTGGCACTGCCATGGGAGAAGTAGACCTAGGTCAGCAGTTCTGCAAGAGGTGCCAGTTCAGCAGCTTCTTCAGCATCTGGGTGAATGGCATAAAGTCTTCCTTGTCATCGCTAGCCTCAAAGTGCTGGTCTTCCAGCACTGGCACCCACCACCGTACCTGGCCAAGCTGGTAGAGACCCTGTGATGCCATTTTATCCACTGCATCAGCAAGCACAGTGGCACCTGTGAGGGCCAGCGTGCAGTGCAAGGTGCAATACCGCACACAATAGATGAGCCCCTGGCTGGACCTTCTCTTTTCCTGCCCTTATCTGCTGCTTAAAATGTGTTTATTTAGATTACCCATCATGATGCACATGTTATTTCTTTATTGAGAGATTTTTTGCTGTAGGGGGCATGCATTCACTGGAGACAGAGACAGAGAGAAAGTGAGAAGCCTCCTCCCAGGGAGGATGGCCATGCCACAATCCCTTCTTCATTATCCTTTTGGAATTTTGGGTATGCATGCACAGGCACCCAAAACTAAGTCTGGGACTTGAACTGTGGTCCACCACATAGGAGTCCAGTATCTTAACCACTATGCCAGCTGCTGCCCCCATGATGCATATATTTAAAACAGTGTTTGGAGTCCAGATGGTGGCACAGAGCTAAAACCTGGCTAGTGGTTAAGACACTTAGACTCCTACATGGCCAGCTGCAATTTGAGTTCTGTACCTGGCAGCCTGAAAAATCATGCAGGGTGCATGTGTCTGCCTGCCCAAAATCCCAGGAGGGGAATAGAGGAGTTATTGTGGCATGGCCACCTCTACAAAGGGTGATTTCTCACTTTCCCTTTCACTGTCTATGTCTCTCTTCAATGAGCGCAAGCACCCTATGTCAAAGACCCTAAGAATTTTTTAAAAATAAATAGAAAAAGAGAGAAAAAGACCTCATCTACAGTAAGGTCTTCCCTAGATGGTGCACCTCTTTGTCCTCCGGGGGCATCTGCCAGAATCCAAAGCTTGCTTCAAGGCACAATTGAAACTTGTTATCTGTGTACTATCCCAAATCCTCCCCTATCGGACCCCAACTCCCACCCTCCCCATTCACATACTCAGAGCAATACACGAATCCCCCTATACACATAATGGTATCTCCCAACCAATGATACCCCCCCTGACTCTTAACAGACAATGAACTCGCCCACTACACCTCACATCTCTCCACCCAAGGAATTCACCCATCCTGAGTCCCCACCTTCTTTCCCTTGACAAAGATGTACCAGGTCTGAGTCCATCCTTCTTTCCCGGATCCTCCCAGGGTTTCTCTTCTGTTTAATCCCCTCTAACCCAGCATTTCCCTCACCCCAACTTTCGACACAGTGGTTTTGCCTGCCGAAACGTCCGTTCCCCTTATTCCTCTTCTACAAAACTTGGTATGTCCTGGGATGACCGGAGAGAAAGGGAATTGGGCTACACCATTACCCAAGGAAGGGAAGACACATGAAGGGAATCGTTGTTCCACGGAGGCCTGAGCGTACCGCTGGCATCCCCTTCGGATTCGGTGTCTTTACAGACTTGGCTGCGTCCCTGTGAATCCCTCGCCCACTTAGTGTTGTGCTCTGCACCTTCCTGTGCAGGCTTACTTCCGGTTTCCAGGACGCCTTTCGCTGGGGGACTCGGGGTAGTAGCACTTCCCCCGCCCGAGTACGCACGCGTAGTGTGTATCTGGTGTAGTGCTTGTTATCTGTGAGGTTCGCTCCATCTAACACAAGCAGAGACGCGGCCTCGCCCAACTCCGCTCAAACGTCAATCTACAACTTAACTTTATCAAAAAGTTGGGGAAGGGATGCTGTAAGAGGCTGCCGTAAGATTTACATTTCCAAAAAAATGGAAATCTATGCGTATTTTTTCCTTGACACGCATTTTCCAAGAACTTTTTGAAGAGTGCGCCTGTAAGTGCAATGAATTATTGATATGTTTAGCATATTCTAGACAGTATAAGCACATTCTTTTCAATTCTCAAAATTGGTGAGTTAATATAATTCCCATTTTTCACATTGAAGGAACAGAGGCTGGGAGTGAATGAGCTCAATAGGTGGGTAAAAAACGTTTTGGGAGCCAGGAGTGTGTGACTCCCTCAGGCATGCTTTCTACTAAATGAGAGCCTTTAAAAATGCAGAGATGGGGGACCAGCAGATGGCATAACGGTTATGTCGCTGGACTCCCACATAGTCCACTGCGGTTTGATTCCCGGACCCAGCAGCTTAAAACTCAAACCAGGCCTGTGTATTCGTGCCCAAGATCTTGGAAAGAAAATGGAGAAGGGATTAGGGTGTGGCCAGTCCCCCTAGAAGGTGATTTCTTGATTTCTTGCTTTTTTGTCTCCTGGGGCTCTCTGTGCGTATGCGCATGACCTATAGCCAAATTCTCTGTGTAAAAAAAAAAAAAAAAAATCCCAGAGATGGAAAGTGAGGGAAGGGGGCCAGTTTTACTCTCTGAAGTGTGCCCTTAGACATGTCAGTAAACCTCTTCGATTTAATTCACACAGATGGAAAATAAGCCAGATGCCTCACTTCCTGGGATGTTTGGTGGTCAAGTAGGCCAACAGCCCACACCTCGTAGTTAGTTCAGGGCTAATTAAATGCCAGCATGGGGCAGGCATGGAACTTCTGTACATACACTTAATAACAAGTTTTTTAGCATTACTTTTTTAACTGTTAATTTTGTCATTAATTGTTCTAATTCTAAATAGTTATTCAATAGGTACGATTTGTAGGTTAGACAAGGTATAAAGTTTATACTTTAAAGGTACATAACCGATAGGGGATGATCAAAGGTGAGGATTGTTATGCAGATTGTCAGAGGACAAGTGTCTTTGTTAAACTGAGAAAAGGGAGAAAATCACTCCCCACAGGGAGTGCTCATATAGCATTCCCTTTTTTTCTATTTTTTAATGCTATTGCTGGGAGTTTGGGGGGCATATACTTTTTTTTTTTTTTTTTTTTTTAAAGGATGTGCAAGGGCTAGGATTTGAACCACAGCTGGGTTTTTCTAAGCAGAGCCTGACTGTGTTATTGATACATGCAGCCTGTTTATGTTATACATTTAAACTTACGCATTTTTTTTTACTGCAAGAAACTTTAGTGACTTAAAGGAAATGTATTTACAAATACATGGAAGTTTTCCCCCAATATTTTAAAATAAACTACTAAATTGATAGAAACTTTTATTTGTGAAGACCAATTTATTTGATACGTGACCTT